TTCAGGTCTTGTATATGTACGTGTCGTACCCATTTTCCCCGTCTGCTCCTTAAATCGACGATAACGGGTGATACGTAATTTCGGACTTCGAACGGTCCACCGTATTTCAGTGCCAGCTTAGCGTTAAACGCTTCGGATTTTTTTGATAAGGGGTGCTTTCTTCTGAGCACCCATTCTCCGATTTTTGGTTTCCAGGCCCGGCGTCGCAGGTCATAGTATTTGCGCTGGCGTTGAAATGCCTGTGCCAGATTGATCCGGACCAGCTCGTATGCCTCCTGTAGTCTCTGGCGTAATCCCTCCGGAGTTTCCGGTGTCGGCTTTTGTCCCTCGGTGTCGGTCGGTGCGGCGAGTTCCCTGTCGTGATTTAAATATGCTGGCGTGTACCCGGTGGTGTCGTGTACAGCCGTGTTGTACGCGAACTGCAGCTCGGGAAGATGCTCGTCCCAGGTGCGATGATCTCGGTCCACGTACTGGCTGATCATCGTTTTTATGGTACAGTTGGTGCGCTCCACCGGGTTGCAATGCGGAGCGTACGTCGGGGTAGTCACGTGCCGAATCCTGCTTTCCACTAGCCGTTCTTCAAGTTGCCTTGAGCGGAGCTGAGTTCCATTGTCCGTGAGGACAGCTTCTGGGCGACCGTGCTTAAGGATGACGTGGTTGGTCAGAGCCTAGGTTACGGCGTCGGTCGTGGCCTTGCGGAGTGGCACGAACTCTGCCCATTTTGAGAATCGATCCTGCATGGACAGGAGCCAAGTGTGGCCTTGCCGAGACCGCGGCAGGGGTCCTACCAGGTCCATGGTGACCTGTTCCCATGGCCGGGTGATGTTTGTCGCGTGCATTCGTCCGGTGGGACGGTGTTGCGCCGCTTTGTGTTGCTGGCAATTTCGGCAGGCCTTGACGTATTTGGCTATTTCTCTAAACATCCCCGGCCAGTAATAACGCTCGGCCGTTCGGGCGATAGTTTTGGCGATCCCTAGGTGTCCAGCTGTTGGTGCGCCGTGAGTTTTTTGTAGCACCGCTTTTCTCAGTGGTTGTGGTATGCACACCTTCCATTGTTCTTCTTCCGGTATTTCCTTGAAGTTTAGGCTGTGTAGTACGTGTTTGTATAGGCGGCCGTGTTCGATCTTGTAATCCGGCCTTGCGGTTGGATCGCTCCTGACCTCGTGGAAGGTGCGTTGGTACCAGCGACAAGCCGTTGGACGGGCGGCTCCAACCTCCGGTTGCCGTGACAGGGCGTCCGCGACGCGATTTAGAGTCCCGCGGCGGTACTGGATATCCAGGTTGTGCTGTTGTAGCTCGAGGGCCCATCGTCCGAGCCGGCCCGTGGGGGAATCCATATTCCGCAGCCATTTCAGAGCCTGGTGATCCGTGATAACGGTGAAGTCGTACCCTTCGAGGTAGCTGCGCATCCGCCGAATTCCCCACCCACGGCGAGACATTCCAGCTCGGTAGCGCTATAATTTCGCTCGGCCGCGTTGAGCGTGCGGCTCGCGTAGGCGATTATCCGGTCGCCCTCGTCGTATCGCTGGGTTAATACGGCCCCGAGTCCGGTGCTGCTGGCGTCCGTTTGTAAAAAAAAACGTCGCGAGAAATCCGGGCAAGCGAGTACGGGTGCGGAAATCAAACGTTCCTTTAGTGCGCGAAACGCGGTCGATTCCTTTTTTTCCCATTTCCATCGGGCGTTCTTTCGCGTTAGATGCGTCAGTGGCGCTGCTACCATCGAGAGGTTTTCGATAAATCGTCGGTACCACGATGCCATCCCGAGAAATTGGCGGACTTGTTTTACGGTCGTTGGTTCTGGCCAGTTAGTCACGGCGCTGACTTTCTCGGGATCCGTTCGGATACCATTTCTCCCCACTACGTGCCCTAGGTATTTTAGTTGAGTGACGCAGAACTTGCACTTTTCCGGGTTCAGTCGGAGGCGCGCCCCTCGCAGACGGCGGAAAGTTTCGGCGAGCAGTTCGAGATGTTCGGAAAAGGTGCGGCTAATAATGATGATATCGTCTAAATAGACAAAGACGTATGGTTCGAGCTCTGGGCCGAGGACGCTGTCGAGTAGCCGCTGGAAGGTGGCTGGTGCCGAGTGCAGCCCGATCGGCATCACTCGAAACTGGAAAAGTCCCTTCCCGGGGACCGTGAAAGCGGTGATCGGCCGACTCTCGGAGGTGAGAGGTATTTGCCAATAGCCGTTCTTGAGGTCGAGCGTTGATAGGTAACGGGCTCCTCTCAGTTTGTCCAATGTGGCGGTAACCTGGGGTAGCGGATACGTGTCGCGACGGGTGACCTCGTTAACGCGGCGGAAATCTATACAAAACCGGTGCCGGCCATCCTTTTTCTTAACGACGACTATCGGGGAGCTCCATGGGCTGTCGGAGGGCTCTATGATGCCTTGCTCGAGCATCTCCTCCACCTCTTTGTCAATAATAGCCTGCATGGCCGGATTTCGGGGCCGGTATCGTTGCTTAATCGGGGTCGGGTCGCTCAATCGAATGCGATGCTGGGCTTTCCCGGTTGGTCCGCTAATTCCCTCGAATTTTCGGAATTCGTGTTCCAGGAAGGCTTGGAGTGTCCGGCGTCCCTCTGGCGTTTGGCCGGTCAAACCGCCGGTAGCCGCGCAGCATTCTCCCTTGAGGATGGATAGAGGAGGTGGCGGGGTTCCCAGGCGGAGTTTTGCCTGCGCGTCGACCCCGAGCAGAAGTTCGCTTTCCATTTCCGGCACGATCGTAAACGTGTGTGTCACCCTCTTTCCCCGTGCGTGGAGGGGTACGGTCACGGTGCCGGGGACATTCGCCGGGGTCTCGTCTACTAGCAGGATTTGCCCCCCTCCCGGCCGTTCTGTTATCCCCTCCCGGCGGAGCGTGTTCATGGTGTGTTCGTTTATCAAGGACACCTCTGACCCGGAATCGATGAGGGCATTAATACGGTGTCCCTTGATAGAAACGAACATGTGCGATCGCGGTAAAAATCTTATTCGGGGTTCGTGGCGGGGACCGCGACCGCGGATACCCCCGTCCCTGACGCGTTTCCCGGCCGTGGGTGACACTCGGAGGTCAGAACTCCGTCCTTGCCGCACTGGGAGCAAAATTTGATGGAGGGACGTCGGCACTGGGCCCGCGTGTGCCCCCGTTGTTTACAGCGCCAACAGCATTCGTGTTTGTTGTAAGTAACCGCGACGGCCGGGGTGGGTTTCTCGCATTTTTTGAGTTCTCGCCTTTCCTTCTCTATGTCCTCGAATTCTTTCGCCCGGAATTGTAATTCGGCGAGGCTTCGAACGTCGTCCACGCGAACATACGCCTTATATTCGGGGTGCATATTTTCATATACCACATCGAGCTGCTCTTCGCGAAAACCCTCCGGCCCGACGCATCAGTGTCATCATTACCGTGGAATAACGTGCAAATTCTTCGCCACTCGCTTCATGACGCCCCATGATCTCCCGGCGCAAGGAGGCGGCATATCGCCTCGGAAAAAATTGTAGATAGAATGCCTGCTCAAAATCGCTCCAAGTCCGCCAATCTTCCCGGTGGTTTCGGTACCATAGCAGCGTATCGCCCTTCAGCATTTCGGGCAGTCCCTTCAGCATTTGAGGTCCCGAAACCCCATAACCGTCCCGGAGTTCCCAGAGACGTTCTAGAAATGCCGCGGGGTCCCGGCCATCAAAATGGCAGCCCCATTTCCGGATTTGATTAATCATCTTTGCATCCGCGGACGGCGTTTCCGCCATGCTGTATTCGGGTGGATTAGGCGCGGTTATCGTGATACACGGGGCCGGCCCCGGATTCATCTCCCCCCCTGAGGCGCTAAATTCATCCGGATTCTCGTCAATATATGTACTCATCCGGCGACGGAGTTCGTCCAGCAGACCGGAGTCATCGAGGTCGTAGGACCGTAGTATTGCCGCTAATTGGGCCTTCGGTAGAGTATAAATCCACGCTTTCATGACCTATGTTCGGTCCGCACACACAATTCGTAATTCTACAATTTCAAAAGTCCCTGTTCGGGCGCCAATGTAACGTCGCTACTTCGCGCGGATCGCAGAACGGATAGCCGTCGGTTCCAGGAGGAAGAAATGCTCTGAATGTATTTGTAAAAGAAATGTATTTTATTTTAACGTGTGGTGTATACAAGTGTGTATACAAGTGTGTGTGTGTGTGTGTGTGTGTGTGTGTGTGTGTGTGTGTGTGTGTGTGTGTGTGTGTGTAAATTGTACGGTACGGATGCTTGTGTGTGCAAGCGTTCGATTTTAATTCGGGATTTTAATTTCGCTTTCCTGGATGGATTTTGGGTTTTCGGAAGGCGTCGCGACGCTAGCGAGCGTCGGAGGCGGCTCAGGTTCCACCTCGTGACGTGATACGACGTCTTAATGAGGATATTTGGAAGAGAGCGATATTGAGCGCCGATATCGATCGGCTGAGGCAGCGTTCACACTACCTTCGGCTCGTATTAATCGCTAAGAGTTTCTCTTATGCTTAAGCTTGCCTTCTGACTAGCTTTCGCTCGAGAGGATCGGAAGGATCTGATCTTAAGTGTCACCGGGAGCCCTTTTTATACCGCTAATTATGGCACGCGCCGGCGTATTTGTTATTCCCTCCCACCGGCCGGCGGAAAAAATAACGGTATAATTGCGCGGGGGTTCTCATTCGTCGGCTCCCGGTGATGGTGCTCAGGATGCCGGGTGCGGTTCTCAATCGGCGGATCCCGGCCGACGGTGTTTTGTCGGACTTCCTACCCGGCTTTTTGCTAGGTTTTTAAAAAGTGGGCACTCTGCCTCTGCCCGACCGGTGGTCGTCGGGCGGCAGCTTCCGGCTGATGTTTTGCCGGGAAACGATGCATTCCGGGGTGCATCGTTACAACCTCAACAACAGAAGAATCGACGCAGCATTGGACGGCGCGTAGAACTTTGACGATACAAGATAACGGTAAATATCAGATAAATGAGTCGCTCATCCTCTCCTTCGCTCATCCTCTCATCTTTCTCTTATCCAAATAAATAAAGAAAAATGGAATCTAAGCAGTTGAGAATAAGATGCGGTCAAGTGAAGGCGCAACTTACTCGTATTCAGACATTTTTCAGAACAACAGATGGGCCAACAGTGGTTGAAGCACGATTAGAAAAATTAATAGAATTATGGGATAAATTTGAAGAACTTCAGAGTTCTCTCGAGAGCATACAGGAAATCTTAACCGAGGAGGAGGAGTTGCAGGAAGCTCAAAGCGACAGCGAGGCTAAACGTGCAGCGTTTGAGGCAATGTATTACGACGTGGCGGCGAAGGCTCACGGTATAATAGACAGAGCCAATAAGGCACGAGAACACCGAACATTAGAATTGAATCAAGGTAACAATCGTCAGGACGAAAGGAATTATGTAAGAAGAGCCAAGCCCAAGCTGCCGGAAATAAAACTCCCTGAATTTCGCGGAGAATACACGAAATGGATGTTTTTCAAGAATAGTTTCGAATCGACAATTCGTAACGATGAGGATCTCTCGCCGGTGCAAAAGCATCAATATCTCGTAGGGGTGCTTCAAGGTGAAGCTCGACAAGTAATTCAAGGTTTTAAAATTTCACATGAAAACTATGAGAGTGCATGGAAATTGCTCAAGGATACCTATGACAATGAGATGATCATAATCGAGACACATCTCGACGAATTGTTAAAATTTCCGAATATCACGAAGAAAAATAAAGCTGAATCAATCCGACAATTTATTTGGCATATTCAGACACACGTTAAGTCGCTTGAAGCGTTGCAACAGCCCGTATTTGAATGGGAGACAATCATAATAACTCTGGCAAAGAAAAAACTCGATTTCACAAAGCAGCGAGATTGGCAGAACATTGTTAAAGGTAAAACACCTCACAATATGCCACGACTAGACGAATTTATCAAGTTTTTGACGGAACGTTGTCACATGCTCAGAGTCTTGAACAACTCGAAGGAGAAGTCTGCAGCACAAAGGCAACAGCAGCAAAAAAAGAGTGAGAAAAAGATTTCTCTTGCTTCGACATCATCGATTTGTAAGATTTGCAACGGAGATCATCCAGTATACAAATGCGATGAGTTGTTCAAAACCGCAACATCGGAAAGATTTAAATTGGTTAGAGAGAAGCAACACTGCGTAAATTGTCTCAAGCCAGGGCATTATGCAAAAAATTGCAAAGCATCATTTTGTAAAAATTGTCAAGGCAAGCACAACACTATTCTACATAGAGAAACGGAAACATCGTCGCATGAGAACAAATATACGGAAACATCATTAGTGACAATTTGCTCAGAGAATTTATCGACGAAAGCCATACCCACAGAAGTTTCGAGAGATGAGAAGAAAGTAGGAGTATACTACACTCAAAGACCAGCGTCCCGTGTGGTACTATCAACAGCTCGAGTATATGTACAAGATGAAGAGGACAACCAACAGATTTGCAGGGCATTACTTGATCCCAGATCACAATCAAATCTAATAACAGAAAAAATGATACGAAAACTTAAGTTGTCATGCCGATCAGAAGACCGAGATATCTGCGGCGTCAGTCAGTCGAGAACAAGAATACGAAAGGTCGCGCAAGTAAGGCTTGCGTCGATGCACAATGACTTTGCGACAATACTCGAGTGTCTCGTCTTACCATCGATAACAGAAGATTTACCGCAAAAAAGGATCGAAATGAATAGCATCACGTTACCGAAGAATATTTCTCTGGCAGGCCCTATTTTCCAGGAACCAGGATCGATTGATCTATTGATTGGCGCAGAATTATATTGGAAAATACTTTTAGGCGCATCGCGAAATCGCATAAACGGGCAACCTGCGTTGCAAAATACAAAGCTTGGCTGGATAGTAGGAGGTTCTCTAAACGACTCTAAATGAAGCTAATTCTTCGTCGTCTTGTCTGCACGTGTCGGATCAAATATTGAGTGAACAAGTCGAGCGGTTTTGGAAACAAGAAACGATTCCCGAGGCCTGTCAATATACGAAAGAAGACATAGAATGCGAGACAAAGTTTATCGAAACTACAAGACGAGACGAGATAGGAAGGTTTATTGTTCGTCTACCAGTATGCATGAGCGTGAAATTAGGCAATTCGAAAGATTCGGCATATCGGCGATTTATTGCTAGAACGACGATTGAGTAAAGATCCGACGTTAAGGGCGAGCTATGTGGATTTCATGCAAGACTACGAGCAACAAGGACACATGTCAGCGGTGACGAATGGAAACGCACTCGAATCGGAGTCATATTATCTGCCACATCAAGCTGTAGTGCGACCTGATAGTGTGACAACGAAGCTTCGAGTTGTATTCGATGCATTAGCCAAAACGAGTACGGGGAATTCGCTAAACGATAAATTAATGGCAGGCCCAAATTTACAGAAGGAATTAATAAACATTATACTCCGTTTTAGGACGCACGAATACGTTTTAACCGCAGATGTGGCGGCTATGTTCAGACAGATCCGTGTGGACAAGCGAGATCGAGTATTACAGCGAATGCACTGGAGAGAAGATTCGAGTCAACCAGTACAAGTTTTTGAGCTGAACACAGTAACATATGGAACAGCATGCGCTCCATATTTGGCGATGCGTTGTCTTCAACAGTTGGCGAGGGAGCACCTTGTCGATTTGCCAGAAGCTGCGCATGCCATTAAGGAAGATTGTTACATGGATGATATTTTAACGGGATCGAGAAGACTCGACGATGCAAGTTGCAAAAGAATATCTCACAAATTCTCATGAACGGGCAATTTCCTCTTCGTAAATGGAGGTCAAACGACCCACGAATACTTCGGCATCTTTCAGATAATGTTAGAACCGATACCTTGTTACTCATCGACGACGATGGGGGCTTTAAAAACATTGGGCTTATTGTGGAACTCGGCATCAGATTGTCTACAGTATAGCATCAAGATATCAAACTCACAAACGATAACTAAACGGATGTTGTTTTCAAAAATAGCACAAGTTTTCGATCCACTCGGGCTTCTAGCTCCTTTGTTGATCAACGGTAAAATAATTCTTGAGCAATTATGGTCGCATAGCATCGAATGGGATGAAAGTGTACCCGAAAATATCCGCGCAACGTGGGAAAGTTACTATCTCTCCTTGCCGAAAATCAATGAATTACGAATTCCGAGAAATGTAACTCCAAGGCGAAACTCGGAGAAATTCAACGTCGTTGGATTCGGCGATGCATCAGAAAAAGCATACGGAGCATGTTTGTATGCAGTGAGTACCGACAGTAATGATAACGTCAATTCTCATCTTATATGCTCGAAATCGAAAGTATCACCTTTGAAGACAATCTCATTACTCAGATTAGAACTTGAAGCCACGCTTTTACTTTCGCGATTATACGTAATAACGCGAAATTCGTATGGTTCAAGAATCGATGAAGTTACTCTCTGGAGTGACAGCATGATAGTGCTTGGTTGGATAAAAAGTCCACCCTGTTCGCTAAAGACGTTTGTAGCGAATCGCGTTTCAAAAATTCAAGATATGACGGAAAATATTGCCTCGCATCATGTGTCTTCTAAAAAAAATCCTGCTGACTTAATCACGAGAGGGGTCAGCGTGGACACGCTATTGAATAGCGGCCTCTGGTGGAATGGTCCCCACTGGTTAAAATCCGATTCTTGTCGACCCGAACAGGAAGAAGAGGCGGAAATGAATCTACCGGAAATAAAATCCACAACGATGACAATGAAGACAACGAAGGATTACGACGTATTAATGAGATATTCCTCCTTTGACAAGCTCAAACGGGTGATTGCGTATTGCATGCTATTCAAGAATAACGCTCTCAACAAGAAGAAAATTGGCGGTCCATTCACGGTTGAAGAATGCGATGAGGCTGAAAAAGCGATAGTAAAATTGGTGCAACAAGAAACATTTCGTCAAGAGATTCGAGATTTGAAGGAGCAACGAGAAATCTCACGCAAAAGCCAAATACGAGGATTAGATTCCTTCCTGGATACAGACGGTCTGATTCGAGTGGGAGGGAGACTCCGAAATTCAAATCTACCCTGGACACAAAAGCATCAAATAATTTTGCCGGCCAAGCATTTTGTAACTGGTTTGATTATACGCAGTGAGCATGTTAGACATTATCATTGCTCATCGGAGCAGCTTCTCAACGTAGTTCGGAATCGTTATTGGCCAGTATGTGGCAGACAAGAAGTGCGGAAGCTTGTTAAAGGCTATCTGGCTTGTTTTCGATTTAGGCCAATAGTACAGGATGCAAAAATGGAAGATTTGCCCAAACAACGAGTAAGCGGATTTATTAGATCGTTTACCCACACCGGGATCGACTACGCGGGACCCCTGCAAGTACGAGAAAGTCGACGTCGTGGACGTATTCATGTTTCGAAAGGATACATAGCCGTGTTTACGTGTCTCAGCACAAAGGCCGTTCACTTAGAACTCGTGTCGGATTTAACTACGGAAGCATTCTTAGCAGCCATGAGTCGTTTTACTGCCCGACGAGGTATATGCTCTCAGATATTTTCCGATAATGGCACAAACTTTGTCGGGGCTTCGCATGAATTGAAAGAGATATACCGCTTTCTTGAGAAGGAAGCTCGGGAAATAGAAACAAATCTCGCTCAACAGCGTATCGTATGGAATTTTATTCCTCCTCGTGCCCCTCATTTTGGAGGCATATGGGAGGCGGCAGTAAAGATAACTAAAAGACATTTTTATACGGTGACGCAGAGTAGACTGATGACATTTGAAGAATACGCTACACTGCTAACGGAAATCGAAGCGATTTTAAATTCGAGACCTCTCACACCTCTATCCAATGATCCTAATGATTTTGATGCATTAACCCCAGCCCACTTCCTTATTGGCGGCTCACTAAGCCAACCTGTCGAGAATGATTATCTGGAAACTCCAGATAATCGGTTGCCACGTTGGCAACATATATACAAGTTACATTAACGATTTTGGAAACGTTGGCAGACGGAGTATCTGCAAGAACTTCAAAGACGCAATAAGTGGACAACCTGTAGCAAAAATATCGAGTTGAACGCTTTGGTTCTGCTCAAGGACGATAACGTACCTCCTCTTTAATGGGTATTAGGCAGAGTATCCGAGGTACATCCAGGACTAGACGGAGTCGTGCGTGTGGTCACGGTTAAAACGAAAAATGGAGACTTTAAGAGAGCTGTGAAAGGGCTGTGTCCCATTCCTACCGATTCATTAATAGACTAAAAGCAAGAAGAATACGAGAAAGTTCAAAGAATTTATTATTTGTTTATTATAATAAAGTTCCGCAAATTTATTATATTTATTTTATATTATATACTATATTTTATTTATTTCTCGTAATTATGTTTTCGTATTTATGTTTCTTAGAGGCAATTATTATTTAACTTTATCCGTAAAATTAAGAATTCAATATTATTTGGAGTTATTTTAGCAGAAGCGAAGACCACGCAATTTAATGTTTCTTTACGTTTCTTAATTTTATCATAGCATTTATGTAGGTTAAGTTGTGTGCAAGTCTCTCGTGCAATATGAATGGAATGGATTGAAAACGATAATTTTGTTGAAAGATGATTCTTTCAAGGGAGGCGGCATATTAAGGATTGTAACGCTAGATGGAGGTGCAGAGCGTGAAAAAAAAAATAAGGAGAGATGGCAAGATGGCGAGAATGCATGTGCACGCGAGAACAATGTTACGCAAAAATATATGTGATTGTTAAATAAATTTGATTGTGAAATAAGACAGCAGTTATTAAGCGTCCTATAACAGAATACAATATTTTTAGGGCTTCCAAATGGAATAAGTAAGCATTAATTTTGTTCATAAATTTTAATTATTCGCATTAATTATAAATTATAATTTATCATTTCCAGTCACAAAAAGAGATATTTGTTTTCAAGAACACTTATTACAAATGATGAAAAATGCTTACGAAAGTCAAAAGAAAATGGACGTTGAATCAGAAGAAATTTTTGCGGTAATAATAATACACGTACGCACACGCATGTACACGCGCACGCGCGCGCGCGCTCGCACGCACACGCACACATACGCACGCACGCACACATACGCATACACACACACACACATACATAGAATATAATAAAAAAATTATAATTACATTTATATATATATTTATAAAATTTCATAAGACTAATAAAAAATATCAATAATAACAATATCATAATATAAACGAAATAATATAAAAATGGAAAAAATAATATATGTATAAAGTACATAACAATTTTTTTTTGCAGTTACCAAATCATTATTTTGAGACGGTTGAAGACAAAGTAAAAATATATTAAATTAATTTTATGTTTTTAATTATTTATATTTTAATTTATTCTTTAAATTATTAGTTGCTTCTAATTTTCTTAATATTAATAATTTCAGGAAGAAATAGCAACAAATTGTGGCTTTTATTTATCCAAAAAAAAGAAAACATTTTTAGAAATGAAGGCAAATTTAAATAAAGATTGAAAAGTAATGGTGCGCGAAACGACATTAGACGTATACAGTTCTAGCATTGCAAATTATTCCGCAACAGGAAAAAGGACGAACAGACCAGCAATTAATCTTATGCTATTTAAAGGGTTATATGGTAAATACACATGCGCGCGCGCGCGCCTGCACACACACACACGTGTGTGTGTTTATACGTACACATTCTATACGGAGTAATTGTATAGTAAAAATTACTATAATATATGTATATAATAATTTTATAAAATAATTTACTATAAAATTTTCTTCTTGTACATAAATTTTTTACATATTGCAATTTGTACAATTTACACGAAGATAATTTGATATTAAAAATTATTATAGTATATAACAGCTGCAGATCACCAGGACTATTTCAAAGTAAAGTGTTATGTAAAACTGTAAAAATTATACAATTTAACACGTTTCAAGTTGTTGTTTTAAATCTTCGAACGTTTGTATATTTCGCGTTCTCGAAATGGCTTGCATGGCTTTACCTTTTAATTTAGTATATAAAATTGCTAAAAAATGAAGTTATAGTCTTTCGGACTATAACATATATTTATATTTCATTAACTTTAAATATTTTTTAAATAATTCCAAAAAAAATTATATTTAATTATATATAAATTATTAATTATTTTTCTATGTAATATCTGTGTAATATCTTACTATGCAATGACTATAACAAATGTGAATTATCTACCTTATCAATATATCTTATCAGTATCATATTACACAAAATATTGCAGCAATATTATTAATATTCTTGTAATAATGCAACAACATTGGAATATTGTCGCAATATTGCTGCAATGTTCTGTGCTGTATAGAATATTACGCTATTATCTTATCAATGTGTCAAACTTACGTCATTATTATTATTAATTTTTAGGTTCAAGATTTGCTTATATGCAAGGTTGGACTTGTAAGTCTTCTGTCGAAATTCAAATTCAAACTTGATCCGGGAAGTACGATCCCGTTAACTTACGATTCGAATAGCCTTACATTTACGCCCAAAAGAGGTATGTAACTTACTATAAAGCCACGATAAAAAAAATAATAAATAAGCATTTTGGATATATTTAAATTTACTTATCAGTAGGGAGAATAGGTCGATTCTAACCCACTTTTTCCACGGGTGCGAGAGAGAGGTCTCGTAGAGCGAGAGAGATAGAAAGATATCTGAGGGGCAGGGTGACGGCGGCGCGGGTGAGCAGGGGGGGTAGGTAGGGCGAGGGGAGCCGCTCGCCGTCGGGTGGGTAAACGGAGGGTCGTGACGTCACGCGGCGGCGGGAGGGCGAGGGGGCGGCGGGGCGAGGGGGGAGCGGACGGAGGGTAGGGCGAGGGGGCGGCGGGGGCGAGGGGGAGCGCGGTTCGCGCTGGAGCGAGGAAGAGGGGGGGGAGAGCGCGCGTCCCTGGTTACGGCGGGCGCGCGTCCCTGGTTACGGCGCGTCGGAGCGTCTCTGGACGCGGCGCGCTAGGCGCGCGCGATAAGCGGCGATCGCCCCGGCGTCGGGCGCGTCGCGCGAGATAAGGCGTTAATAATAGAGCGGATGTGTTCGACGCAGGCCTGGAAGAGATACGACGTAAGATTTATATAACGTACGATTTTATACAAAATATTATTTTATACGATGTATAATGTACGATGTATATTAGATTTATTTCGAGCAGGAGGAGGAGGAGGGAATTCTTCGCGAAGCGAGGAGAGACGAGGGCAACGTAAATCTAGAAGAGAGAGATAATAAATTATGCGTACAATTTATTTATTTAGTTATTCGTTTATTTATTACGTCGCGAAGTAACACGCGTAGACGTCATGCGTACGTCGAGAATAACGTCGGTACTCGCGATCGTTTCGTCTTACAAATTGTGATAGAGTCCGAACAGCAGAGCGTGCAACTCGCAGTCGATCAGATCGTTCGCGTTGAAGTGCTCGTGCCGGCGAATCGCTTCGGGAATATCGCCGGGGTGGTCGGTCTCCGTCGCGATATCTAGAAAACGCGATAACTTGGCGTCCACGGTCTCGAGTACGCCGGTCAACGACGCGATGATGCGATTGACGCACAGCTCGAGAACGAACAGCGCCTTCACGGTGGATTGCGACAGAGCGATGCGATTCTTCGGCGTCTCGAAGCGCAGAGTCTTCAGATTGTTTATCTTGCCGAATCGAAGCGTCACGGTTCCGACGATTATGGACGTCGGAGGGCGCGCGACAGCCTCGTCCAATTCGTTATCGAAATACGGCAGTATATCGTTGCGCAGAGCGAGCAGATCCTTCCACATGTCGGGCGTCAGAGATATCTCCTTTCCGTGGCAGTCTCCTAGGACGATGTCGACTCGAGATTCGCGCTTCACGGCTACGGCGATGTCGATATATTTGTACGCCGTCTTGGTCAGAGGATATCGTCTTCCTAGTATTCGAATCGGATGTCTCGCGAAATTGATCTCGCGTTTGAACAGCCAGTTTCTATTCCATCTGTAAAAAAGACGACGTTATTATGGAGAAATAGCCGATCGAGGCGGAGATCGAGAGCGCTCGGGCGAGGTGACTCGCGCGTACTCACTCGTCCTCGGTGTACAGTCGCGCTTTCTTGATCACGGGCGGAGTGTCCGAACGATCGCGGGTGGTATCCTCGTCCTTGGCGGAAGCCGCGTTATCGTCTCGACGATTAGACGGGACGACGAAGGGGCCCGTCATCGGCGGCGCCGACGGAGTCGCGGGCGTCGCGGACGAGTCCCCGAACACTCTGCGATACTCCTGTCCTAGTCCGGCGAACATGATCGGTCTCGCGAACAGAGCTTCGATGTTCGTAGGAAGACACTGCGGTGGCGACGGCGTCGTAGAGAGATTCGTCGTAGACGTCCGTTGAGAATCGATCGCGCGTTAATCGCGAGTATCGTTGGAAATGTCGCGCGCAACGATCGAGACGCGTCTTATATATACGATGCGATCTCGATCGTCGTCGCGAAATCTTTATTCTCGACGCGCGCGTTGATTAATGCAGCGGAAGCGGTTTAGAACAGCGGTTTAGAACAGCATATTAAATGTAATCTTAACGTTAGGTTTCAGGATTTCCTGATCTTAGTCATCGTCGTCGTCGTCGTCGCCGCCGTTGCGCGGTCTTTCGAAGGACGCGTATTCCAGGCGATACAGCTTGGAGACGAGTTCGCTCAATCGATGCAGAATGCCATCGGCTGGGCATTCTATTCCCAGTATGCTAAGATCGAAAGGACCGGCCGAGATTATCGCGTCGAGGAACTCGCTGTACGCGTAATAGTCGCGTTTCTTCAGAAAATAGAGATTACCGTTGACGTGACGGAAGGCGGCCGTTATCGCGGGTGGTATCCCGGAAAACGTGTCCCGCAGAGCGCCGTGCCTCGCGACGGTCATCGCGCAGTCGTTCATCTCGGCTATCTTATCGTCGTTGTATATGACGTAACTGCGCCCGGCGTGTGTGTTTATCGCGGCGTTTATCCTAGCGTCGCGGGGAAATCCGACGTATTCGACGGATCTAGGCCATCCCGCTTTAAGATGAAAATTCGAATCGGCGAGGTAGACGTAGTCGCCGACGAATATCGCGATATCGCCCGACGGTCTCTGATACACGGCCGATACGCGAGTGAGATTGCGGGGGAGGAATTTAAAGTAGTCGGCGAACGAGAAGGGCGCTCCGTAGCGTCTCTCCCTCATATCGACGGGCCACACGTTGCGTTTACGCGCGACGTACAGGCG